TTCACCTCATATTGATGTTGAGCAGAAGAAAGCAAACTGTGGAGAAGATAATTAAAAAACAAAGTTTGTGCAGAAAAAAAACTTTCTAGTATTTTAGTATGATTGTGATTTTTGAATAAAATACATATATATTGAAAGGAAGTTAGCCCTGTGAACCCTAAAACCTCCTTGTTGACTTTACAAAAAAAATCAAAGCTAGAAAACTGTAAAAAAAAATGTAAAAAAAAAAAAAACTTTTCAACTTTACAAAACTCTAAAACTACGAAACTTTTTACTTTCATTATTTTATTTTACATTCCTCTTTTTTTTTTACACCAAAAATAAAGTATTCACATTCACAAAAATGTGTAAAAAACAAAAAATTCACTTCTGCTCGATGCAACAGATGAGCTATTAGCGACTCAGCTGCGACCAACGATCACGTGAGGAAAATTCAGAGAGTTTTGGGGATTTACTGCAGGCAGTGTAAGCACACAACAGATAGGAGACACATTTAAAAACTAAAACTATAAAACGTAGAGTCACATTTGTTTTTCAGTATTTCTAACATCTGTGGACACTTTGACAATGTCGAACCATTTAATTATTTTTTTCAATGTTTGCCAAACAAATAATCAAAGAATTTCAACTTTTTGGGGTTTTATTGAATCACTTCTGTCATTCTGCATATTTCTCTGCTTCCTGTTGGTTCTTCTGTCTCCATAAAGCTGCAGGAGTTTACATCTCAGTGGAAAAGTCAACCAACGGGGAAGAAAAACGTGAAAAAACAGGATAAAGATAGTGATGATAACAGCAGGAATAAGCGACTAACTTGTCAAACAAGAGATAAAAGACAGTTTTTAAATAAAAAAGTTACATTTTATATATAAATGAAAGTTCTTTTTATAGGTTTAGACATGGAGAGATTCTTTTTTCTGAATTGAACGTGCAGCTTTTATTTTCTGTGTGTAATTTTCTGCTGCTTTGATTGAGGTCAAAGCTCAAAAATGCCATTTACACTTCGGCAGATTGACTTCACAGCCGATCCGCGCTCTGGCTGTGAAGCTGTTTGGAGAATAAACACTTTATTAAGAGAATAAAAACCTGCGAAGCTCTTCAAGCTCAGCAACAGAAGAGACGTCCAAAGTCGTGTTCTTCCCTCCCGCCGCCGAGTCCCGTCAAACGAGCTGCTAACAGCCGGCTTCCCCCACAGGGACCAATAAAAGCTGCAGCTCGTCTCAATCTGGCGCCGAATGTCAAAGCCTGCGCAGCCCGTGCATAATTGGACGAGTTAATTCGACGCACAAAGTTTGAAAGAAAAAGCTCTTGGTTGGAAGATGTGAAAGTCCTGCAGCACAGAAATCAAGTGATTGTAGGGCGCTATCGGAGCAAATGCTGGTGTGAAGGAGGTGCAAACTGTAAAAAATGCAGAGAAATCAGCTTAAATACGCAGAAAATGGGCTTTAAAGAAGATTTGTGTCTGAATTCTCGTGTTTTTCTTTATGTTTGATGCAGAAATCGGTGAGTAAAAAAATCACCAGAATGCAGGAAATTGAGCCTGGACGCTCAGAAATCCACCGACTGTGGGCTGAAGTGCAGACGGTGTGTCCTCAGAGCAGAGAGGAGAGTCTGACAACAACATGAGGGAGGAAATGTTCAAGTGTTTACAGTCATTTCTTTCCTGTTTATGGTTGTTTTGTGTCTCATTTGTTCATTTTAAATCTTTGTTGCCATTTGACGTGTTTTTGTGGTCGC